TCCATTAAGTGGGCCATGGTGGGGTGGAGGCAGGACTGGGCAGGGTGAGAGGGTGACAAGAAGGAAGGAGTGAGAGAAGAAGTCACAAATTGATGTTTTTGGAGCTCTGGGCCTTGTTCTGTTTTTAAGGGAGGGAAAACGCATCTCCAGTGCTCGCTGGAAACAACTACAGGACTTGTCAAAACATATTTGTATTAAATGTTTTAAATATAGCTGACTTGTGTTAACCCAGCGCTCTTCCTCCGTGAGCTGTCCGTCCGTGCCGCGTTAGCGCCGCGGTTCTCCATGGCAATTGGCGCCGGCCGGCACACGCAGGGAAGGGCTGGGTCGTCATCCAGCTCCTGGAGAAAGACTTAACTGGAAAAAGTGAGCGTGGGTTTGCAGGGAACTGAATGTGGCTTTTGTAAATAGGGAACTGCGGAGCAGCTCCCGCGGGGATGGGAGCGGGCAGGGCTGGGGGGACCTTTTCCCCAAGGAAAAACTTGGGTCACTTGGCTGAAGTGGCTTGGGAAGAGGGACAAAGAGGGTGCCCCTTGCTACAGGGGTGCCAGCCTGGCCCAGTGCCCAGGTGAGGTCAGTGCTTGCTGGGGGACAGGTGGGGTGGGCGCTGCCCCTGCCCGGCTCTGCATCAGGCACACCTTGCGCCGCTTCCTGAGCTAAAACCAGCTGGTTTCAGCACAGGACATCAAGGACTTGCATGGAAGGGTGACTGTCCTTTGTCCCTCGGGGTGGGGGGAACCACACTGGACCAGGGCAGCTTCCCCACCTGGAGTGCTGCTCTTGGAGGCTGGCAGCATCTGTGATCCCTGTAGTGCTGCTGGGGAGCAGGCAGCCTGCCTTCCTCCTCCTCTTCCTCCAGGACCCTGCTTGCCATCATGCAGGCCAGTTGGCTGGCACTGCTGGCAGGAGGTAGCCCTGGTTCCAGGGAGGAGGGTTTAAACCTGGAGGGCTGCACAGGGCTGGGGTGCGAGGCTGAGCTCTGGGCTACCAGCCGTGCCAAGCAGACCTCGCCACAGCGGAGAGGAGCTGGTTGCGGCAGCCTGGCAGGCACACGTGTGCGATGGCACTGTCCCCGGGTTCCCTGATGTCACCCCTTGGCCCCGCACGCAGCTCTGGCACCGGCAGGGCTTAACACTCCCTTCCACGGCACGCAGCTGCTTTCCACGGCTCCTTGGGGTGGAATTAATTTTTCCCTTCCCTACCTCGCAGCAGGGACCCCCTCCTCGGGCCAAGTATGCGTGCAAGGCGCTGCCTTCCCTTGGCTCCGCACAGGGGCTGGCTGTGAAAACAAGTGCCCTGGGGTAGGTTTCTCCCAGGGGAACGGTGTTTCTCAGCACAAACTAAGCAGCACTGAAGTGGCTTTTCAGGAAACAGCGATAAAAATAGCCGTAAAAACCCTTACGAGTATAAGGGCAGAGTGTGCGGCATCCCCACGCGCCGGATAGGGAATGTGAGCTGAGCTGCGGGGGCTTCGTCCATACCAGCAGCACTGGGCACTTCCAGTGCAACCAAGCAGGACCAGCCTGGGTACCCCCTTGTCTAGCTAAAGGCTGGTGCCAGGCACAGAGAAAAAGATACCTGAACTGCTCAGTCCTGGCAAGTGCTTCCTTCCAAGCGCTTGGGGTGGAAAGGGGGGAGCTGATGCCACAGCCTTGCTCTCCACTGCCAGCCTGGGGTTGGAGGAAGATGCTCACAAGGGTAATTAACAGCTTCAGCTACTGCAAGAACAGCTCTGAGACAGTTTACAAAAAATAAAAATAAGTCGATGTTTATTTTATCAGTGAGTTCAGCCCCTGCTAGGACAGGGACACAGTCCCTAATGTTCTCAGGCGTGTGAAAGGTTTGGCACACCGGGTTTTAGCTACTGTGACCAAACTGAACCGTGCTGTCAGGAGCATCTCCAAACCACGTCATCCATCACGCAACAACAATGCCTTTTCTTTCTTTCTTTCTTTCCTCCAGCCTTATCTGACACCAAAAACACCAACAAAACAGTCTCCCAACTGCCATGGTCCTTTCAAGGTCCTGATGCCCTGGGAAACTTTACAAACAAGCACAAACACGGCTCAACCGAAGGGGAACACGGCCCCCAAAGCTGTCAGACCTCTCCTGCCTCAGCAACAATATTTTCACTTTGGTCTCCTAGAAAAAAAAAACCCTCAGTGAAGCTGCACTTTGGTCTCCATCTCCCAGAACAATCAGGCTGTTCCTTCTTCCCAAAAGGATGAACTCCAAAAAGGATTTTTACTCTCAACACACCTTAATCTGTGGCTTGGAAAACAAATAGGACTTATGATTTTATAGCATCTGGCCAGGATCAAAATTGTAGATTCCCCCCTCTGCCCACCCCCTTGTGACATCAAGAGTCCCTGAATAAAGCCCCAAACCCATGTGTTCCCTTCTCCCGGCTCCTCCTCAGTCATACTGCAGCAGAGAGTAGAAAGGGATGGACCTGAGCTTTTCAGACCCTTTCAGGAGCTTTAACTCTATGATCACCAAGCACTCCAGGACTTCAGCCTTCAGCTTCTTCACCAGCTCGCAGGCTGCACACATGGTACCTGCACAAGACGAGAAGTTGAGCAGAAACATCGTCACTCGAGTAAGCTTCAAACCCCACGGCCGCTCCTACCGCACGCGGGTTAGACGTGGTCCAACGCCATCCGCTTCTCTCACCTCCGGTGGCAAGCAAGTCATCTACGATGACTACTTTTTGTCCCGGTTCCACGGCGTCACTCTGGATTTCAAGTTCAGCCTGCGGGGTGGA